GGGATACATTCCAGGGACGCACATGGTCCGTATGTGCAACGGCAGGCCCAGGCCAGCCTATTTCTAGGCAAGCATGAGATGCAGAACAAAGCAACACACAACATACAGCAATCCCTGAATACACAATGCATAGGTATTCATGCTAGAGACACACATAAGCAGCATCACCACTATACAGAAATACAAACATAAGCTCATATCGTTACAGTTGTGACTGTGCGCAACCCCCCCGAGCTCTTGTGAAGGTCTTCTAGCCATGGGGCTCTAAAGGGTTGCCTCTCCCCGAGGCTCCCTTCTGCCCCGACGGGCCCGCCACTTTGCTTCCGCATGGAACAGGAGCTACTGACTGGGACAAACGTGTGGGGATCTGGTGAAATTAACCTTCCCTGAGATGAAATGACGAGAATGACGTTGAACCGTGAGTTTGTTGAAGCATTGAATAAAAAAAAAATGGCGGAAATCCCCCCCCTTAATAAGTGGATTTTCTAGCAGACCTAGCAATGCCCACGTATCAAGGACCAACCTGGTGATGTGGCAATTGCCCATGGATTTCACATGGCCTCCTCCCATGTGTGGAGAATTGGAAGCAAGGGAGCTCCCTGCAGCTTTCAAGGTCAGGGACGAGCATCAGTAGCTCTGGAGTGGAGAGACTCCAGGGAGTTCCACAGACATGGGTTTGATTCCCCACATGAAGCTGAATTCCCTTTTGCCAGCCAGCAATATGGCAACAATAGGTGAACACACAGCTGCACCTTCATCCTGTCCCCCCACATAGCTCAACAGGGAAGGGCATCCACATGGCAAACTCGGAATGAGTTTCATTCCCAGGAAGGGGAATGTTGGCCATAAGGAAAATCCTGCCTTTTGCCCAGAAATAGGGTGAATGGCAGCAAAACTGAGACGACCCCTTTACTGGAGAGGTCTGGGTTTACTTTAAAATGTTCTTTCAGTTTTGTTTTACTCTATATATCCGGCTGCCACCAGGAAATTTTAAAAGGATTTCCAAACCTTTATGCTTTCTCTATTTCTGGGTAGGAATGTCGAGGGTTTTAGGCGTTCACGAGGGTCTATGTGGTCCTGGGAAGTATTTCTTTCAGAGTGGGTAATTTTAAATAAAAGAGGATTTATTGAAGTAATTCACAAATAAAAGATTAACTCATTGTAACCAGGAAGGCTTAAATACTGAACACATGCTTGGTGTATAACACTCTTTTCTCTTTTACTGACAGGGATCTGGGCATGTCACTTTGTAACAATATTTTCCTTAGGCCATATACGTTAACTGTTTCTTATACATTCAACTTCAGCTTATAACTGTTTCAACACAGACGGCTTCTCTCACAGACTTCAGAACTTAACAACCCCCACAGGGAAGCTTATCCTTCTCTCTCATACATAGCCTAACTCCCTTCAACTGACTTTTTCAACTGTCCAAACTCTAACAGTCACTCCTGATAGACATTCAAATCATCCACACAGCATCCATTCCAAAACCCCTCCCCCTCTCTGTCACTCACCAATCATATCACTTGCTTGAGTCCAGCACTCTAGATTATCATCACAGCCATGCAAACCAAACTTTTAAAGTCACACACACACAGTTAAACATGAACTCATTACAGAACCCAT